GGTCATTACCTGCGGAGTATTTTCTTTCCAATCACAATGGTGAGGATTCTAAATTAAAAAGCCCACACACTTGGAGATTTTATCTCAACTTCGATTTGAACTAAGCTACACGCATTATAGCATTCACTTTGCAATTTGTGATTATAAGTTCGGTCTACAGTTTTTCCAAGGAGGCTTGACACAAAAAATAGCATTGAGGAGCATCTAGCACATACCTACTTACCTTCACCTGAATATCAATGACACCTTTGGTAGCAAGTCGTAGATGGCGTTACAAAATCAGATTCACAATCCACCCCGGATATGATGTAATTCCAATCCGACCCTCAGCGATCTGTCCGTAAAAGCTCAAAGATAAGGGTTTCGATTCATCAAAACCAAAGAAGAAGAAAGAAACGAAGAACATCGAGAGGAACGTATGTTGCAACCAAAGCCAACGTAATGTAGTGACAAAGATCGTATCCTAGTGAAAAGTATTTGAGGACGAGAAGAATGAACAGATAAGAAATGCATGAGGGAGACCCTTTGTTGACTTCCTTGCATAAATACAAAGATGTCAATCGTAAAATCGTGCAGGAGGAAGCTATCTCTTACTATAAGTAGATTGCACACACTGGTGTGTAAAATTATCCATGGCAAGTATTGTAGCTCTGTTCTTGCTTACACTGTCTTTTGGTCTTCTATGGAGGATTCTAACGAAAATTGTTGATCGAAGCCTTCCTCCAGGCCCGCCTAGAGTGCCGCTTCTGGGTCACTTGCATTTGCTGGGTGTTCTTCCTCACAAATCTCTCTCGGATCTCTCAAGTAGATATGGCCCCGTCATGTTGCTCTGGTTTGGTTTTGCTCCAACGCTTGTGGTCTCTTCCCCAGATGCTGCAAGAGAAGTTCTGTGCACTCAAGATCTTGCCTTTGCTTCAAGGCCAAACATATCTATAACCAAGTACATGTTCTACAATGGTAAGGACTTGGGATGGACCAGCTATGGTCCCTATTGGAGATTGATGAGGAAGGTCACCACTGTGGAACTCTTCACTGCAAAAAGGCTCGAGGAATCCAGAATGGTGAGGCACACGCAAGTTTCGAAGCTCATTGACTTTATAGTCAATAATGGTCAAAACGGGAAAGCCTCAATCAACATGAAATTCCTTTTGTCCATCCTCAACCTCAATGTTGTGAGCTCGATCACGTTGGGGAGAGAATTTCACGCTGGCTCTGTGGAGCTGATCGAAGAAGTAATGCGGCTGATGGACTCGTTTGTGTTGGGCGACTGCTTTCCATTCCTCTCGTGGCTTGGCAGCCCCGTGATCCGAAAGATGATCTCGGCTCACACGAAACTGGACCAGCTTTTGCAAGAGATCGTGGACGAGCACAAGTCTAAATTCAAGTCATCAGAGCGTGCGCGTGACTTTGTTGACGTGCTTTTGTCATTGGAAGACCAAGGAGAAATTGACGTTCAATGCGTGAAAGCAATGATCATGGTAAGTTTAATTTCCTTTGGTATGCTAACCTTATTTTCTCTTCGCAAGGACATGATCATTGCTGGTACTGAAACTTCGGCCATCACTACCGAGTGGGCACTTTCAGAGCTCATGAACAGTCCAACATGTATGATCAAAGCCCAAAAAGAGATTGACACAATTGTGGGCCGTGAGTGGATGGTGGTGGAAGCCGATCTTTGCAAGCTTAGCTACATCCACAATGTTGTCAACGAAGTGTTCCGCTTGCATCCGCCAGCGCCAATGCTACTCCCTCACCATTCAACGCAAGACTGCCTAGTCAACGGTTACAAGATCCCCAAGAACTCGCGAGTTTTGGTCAACGTATGGTCAATTGCACGAGATCCAAGCTTGTGGGAGTCTCCCAATCTCTTCAACCCGGATAGATTTGCGGAGAGCTCGATCAGCTTCAAGGGGAAGAACTTTGAGCTGCTGCCTTTTGGATCTGGTCGAAGGATCTGTCCCGGATTGTCTCTTGGCGTAGCCATGGTTTCGTACACTCTTGCTCGCCTCGTCCATGGGTTCGAGTGGAAGGTCAGTGGCAAGGAGCTGAGCATGGACGAGATCTCGGAAGGGGTGGCGGTGAGACGAAAGGTTCCACTTGAAGTTTTTGCAACACCAAGGCTTGCAAGCCACTACCTGTAATGAAGTTATCTTAGAAACTAGCAAGCTGAATGGACGGACATACCTCATTCTCTAATCTTCAGAAACATCCTCTTGAGCAGCCTGGCTTCTCTGGAGACCGTGTTGGAGTTCTGGCCCTCGCCGGGACTCTCCACGGATGTGTAGACAGTCTTGCCTTGGCTGTCCGCAGCATCAAGAAAGTCGTCTATGTCGGCGTATGTCGCATTCTTCAACTGCATCACGCAAGCTCGAGATTAGATTTCATGAATCCCGTCTTTTGTTGCTTACTACGATCATCTGTTTCGCAAGGCTATCGACCAATGCAAGAAAGCAACGCTTTGCATAAAACCACGTGTCTGCTTCCAGCTTTTTCCCATAAGGCTCCAGACTTCTGATAATACGGCTAATACCGAACTCGAAGATTTGTTTTCGCAGTAGAGGGTACCGATCACAAGGTTTACAATGCATAAATGCAATTCCTGCTTGTCTGGATTCTAGAAAAGGAACACGGAATTAAAACCACTAGTAGCCGCTTAAGTTATATGTAAATGGCAAACCTTGTAGTGCGCTCTCTCTTCCTCTTTTTCAATCTTTCGCATCAAATCTTCGGCCTCTTCATTCTGCTAAAGACCAATATATTACAATTTCGTCGTACTATTTGTTTAAAGTACCTGGCTGGTCATAATGTATGAAACGCAGAGATTCGCGAGCACAATTGCTGTGACACTGAGAATGTCATCTCCCGCTTTCTTTACAATCGGTTCATAGAAATGGATTGCTTCTGTAGCGATTATCCTGTTAGATGCACCATGAGCATAGATAGCAAATATGATTAGCTCACCTGCATAAAGAAAGTGTGAGCGACATTCAGTCGCCAAAAAGGATGATCCGAACACAAGTCTGCTGACTGGTGGAAAAAACGCTCTACTTGCACGTAATTTTCTTTGTCCCAGAAAAGCTTTGCAATTGCCATGATGATAGGTATATAATACTATAGAAGAGCCGATGCTCGAAAAGCAAAAGACAAAACATTACGAACATCTTACCTCAAGAGAGTCTTCATACTCTGCCAAAGCCTTCTTGTGGCCCTCCTGATCACGAGAAAGACAAGAATCCTGGATTTGTTTGGTGAGCCTGCGCATGGTTTCACTATAACGATTTGCCAGCTCATTCATCTTTTGATATGTATCCTGTCCGATAGTCAAGCTTAGCTCAACAACATCACAACTAACAATAATTGAACAACCTCCGGTGACGTCTTTGTCAAAATGATGCAGTTAATAAAGTCGTAGAGGTCCTGCATAATATTTGATGTAAAAAGACTAATGCTTGTGAAGTTTATGTGCTTCAATAGATACTTGAAGATAACTTCCGCATGCTCTGCCATTACATCAGCAGCAAGGTCGTAGAATCCATGGGAAGGTTTACAATACAGCAGAAGTAGATTAGCCAATGTCTCTGAAGGAAATGAAGGATTCTATAGCGAGTGGTCAGAATAATCATAAAAGAATAAAAATATCTACCTGCAACAAAAAATTAAGTTTACGGAAGCCTGCAGTAGGATCAACTTCCATATTCATCAGGGCTTGATTGTGAAGCGTGACCTGAGGAAAGAAAAAACAAAAATAAACAACTTAGCGAAAGGATCAGAATGTACCGAGTCTAACTCTTCTTCTACACGTGGTGGCATGTCAGTGAGGTTTTCCTTTGCGGCCTCTAAATTTCCATTGACGTAGTCAATGGCAGCCTAAACAAAGAACTAAATCAAGTGAGTCAAAAAGAATTTTGATCGGACCTTCAAGTTGAAAGCGACTAATACAGATTCTTTGAGCGCTGGGCTGTTTCCAACACTACATAGCTCAATGCCCTCTACGTGGCTTTACAAACAGAAAATGCATAGTCTAGAATATATGCAAAAGCAACTAATGTGGTGACAAAGAGCATACCTACCAATGCTGAGCTCGGGATACTATCGCACTCCATGTTCCAGAATTTCTGCAAGAACACTAAGAGCTGCAAACTAACGTAAGGAAAATTCGTTCATTGATTGTCCAAGAATAACATTACCTGGACCGTAATGCTTTAGACGGTAAAGACAAACAGCTCTGTTGCAGGTCAGCTCAAGCTGTACCAGTTTTGATGTGCCAACAATCCTTCGAGGAACGCATGATACCATGTTCTGATCTGGGATACTTGTGTTTGGTCATTACCCGTGGAGCATTTTCTTTCCAATCACAATGGTGAGGATTGTAAATTAAAAAGCCCACACACTTAGAAGATTTATCTCAACTTCGATTTGAACTAAGCTACATGCATAGTAGGATTCACTTTGAGATTGAATTTCCTATGGCAAGCAGTTTGTGATTATAAGTTTGGTCTACAGGTCATGTTACAGCCACATGAATAAGGCTTAACACAAAAAGTAGCATTGATATACAGAAGATTCGGAGGAGCATCTTGCACATACCTACTCACCTTCTCCTGAATACCAATGACACCTTCGGTAGCAAGTCGGAGATGGTGTTACAAAATCACAGTGGGGACCCTGGATATGATGTAATTCCAATTCGACCTTGAGTGAGTCCGATCTGTCTAAAAGCTCAAAGATAAGGGCTTCGATCCATCAAAAGGGGTTGCTTGAGCCCCAAGATCAACACAAGCTGAAACGGATATACATGAAACCACTCATAACCAGAAGAAGAAGAAGAAGAAAAACATAGAGAAGAACGTATGTTGCAACCAATGCCAGCTCTATTTGTGATAAGAAATGCATGGAGGCAGACCCGCTATTGACTTCCTTGCATAAATACAAAGATGTCAATTGTAAAATCGTGCAGGAGGAAGCTATCTCTTACTACACACTGGTGTGTAAAATTACCCATGGCAAGTATTATAGCTCTGTTCTTGCTTACACTGTCTTTCGGTCTTCTGTGGAGGATTCTAACGAAAATTGTTGATCGAAGCCTTCCTCCAGGCCCGCCTAGAGTGCCGCTTCTGGGTCACTTGCATTTGCTGGGTGTTCTTCCTCACAAATCTCTCTCGGATCTCTCAAGTAGATATGGCCCCGTCATGTTGCTCTGGTTTGGTTTTGCTCCAACGCTTGTGGTCTCTTCCCCAGATGCTGCAAGAGAAGTTCTGTGCACTCAAGATCTTGCCTTTGCTTTAAGTAAGGACTTGGGCTGGACCAGCTATGGTCCCTATTGGAGATTGATGAGGAAGGTCACCACTGTGGAACTCTTCACTGCAAAAAGGCTCGAGGAATCCAGAATGGTGAGGCACACGCAAGTTTCGAAGCTCATGGACTTTATAGTCAATAATGGTCAAAACGGGAAAGCCTCAATCGACATGAGATTCCTTTTCTCCATCCTCAACCTCAATGTTGTGAGCTTGATCACGTTTGGGAGAGAATGTCACACTGGCTCTGTGGAGCTGATGGAAGAAGTAATGCAGCTGATGGGCTTGTTTGTGTAGGGCGACTGCTTTCCATTCCTCTCGTGGCTTGGCAGCCTGATCCGAAAGATGATCTCGGCTCACTCGAAACTCGAATCTCGTGGGGGTCAGAAGATCCAACACTTGGGCGACACACTGCACTCTCGGAATGCAGCCGTTGGTGTTCCAGGTCTTCTTCAGCGTATTGGGATCTGTAGTGGTGTCTTTCCCATGCTGTCGAGACTTGGTGGGATTGATGGTATGAGCATTGCTGATGATGATCGTCTGGGGCCGTTGGCTGTTTGGTTGTCGCGTGGTAAAGCTGCCGGCCTCCTCCATTGTTGGTAGCTGGGAGGCGTGGGGGTTCCTAGCAACGCACCACCATCATAGTCCAACTGGTGAATGCTTGCGATTGGGACTCCCGTGGTAAAGCTGCCGGCCTCCTCCATTGTTGGTAGCTGGGAGGCGTGGGGGTTCCTAGCAACGCACCACCATCATAGTCCAACTGGTGAATGCTTGCGATTGGGACTCCCGTGCTGATGGTGTGTGCCCTAGAGAGGCATCCTTCGATCACGTCATTCCGATTCCATTCGCAAGAACACCTGGCCTCTTGGTGCATGATGAGGAGTAGCCAGTGAGGACAAGGAAGATTCTGTGCCTTGTTCCCAAGTTTAATATGGGGTTGGCACCCCAGAGAACCGGAAGGCACCGCAAAGTGATCCACCGGGAACATTTTAGTTGTACTGGGTCGTGTTTTGCATACGATCATCCTGTTCTGCCACCTGTCCCCTTTCGGTGATGTGAGTAAGAGGGCCGTGAGAGAGCCACATTGCTATGCCCCAATCGTTTCGTAACAGCCAAGGCAGGATGATGATATGAGCAAGGTGGTGATGCAACTTGATGAGACATTAGCCGGTCTTGATGGGGAAAATTTCATGTACCTAGGCAGGCTGATGATGGCCTTGTGGTCTCGCAGTCGTGTTTATAAACTTTTGTCCTTGTGGTCATTGCTGGTAATCGATCAGTTGTCATAGTCGTCTCACGGTCATCGCCGTAGGTCTTCGCTGGTCATTGGTGCCGGTCATTGGCGATTTGAAATTTTCCTGCTGTTGGGCTATGACGACTCCCGCTCCAAGCTCCTCGGCTCCCTTTGCTCGCCATTCACCATGTATGTTGCTCTCGATAAGCATCTGCCATTTCTCGCCATACCCATCATCTAGAAGCGCTCCTTGCCAAGAGAAGTTCATACTCGCCCACAGTTCCTTGCCAGGAACAAGAGGCGACGCCATATCAACACGTTTTCCAGCTCCTCGCCAGGAGAGGTTCCTCGCCATACCCATCCTCCAGGAGCACAAACGCCGTCATATCCATCACACACAACATGTTCTACCGAGGCATCCAAATCCTCTCTGAGAGAAACACGCTTCGCTGCCATAGCCGCACTTCACTCCTCGTCTAAGAGCAAGTAGACATACGCCCAGCACCCAGCCTCTCCTTGTCGAAGAAAGAAGTCTCCGAGAGACCAGAACACCCTGTGAGAGTGATGTCACGAATTGAAACCCGTCACTGCTGCGGAGATCTCGCCAGGCAGCTGTGGATGTTCGCCATCAAACCGTAAGCATCTCCTTTGGCTCCCAAATAGTACGACGAAATTGTAATATATTGGTCTTTAGCAGAATGAAGAGGCCGAAGATTTGATGCGAAAGATTGAAAAAGAGGAAGAGAGAGCGCACTACGAGGTTTGCCATTTAGATATAACTTAAGGAGTGGTTTTAATTCCGTGTTCCTTTTCTAGAATCCAGCGGATCAACTGACCTTCATGTCGGCAATGTTTGCCTCGAGCCACACGGGGCTGGTAGGCCTGGAATGCTTCCTGGAGATGGAGGCCGCAGGAATTGCATGTATGCATTGTAAACCTTGTTATCGGTACCCTCTACTGCGCAAAACAAAACTTCGAGTTCGGTATTAGCCGTATCATCAGAAGTCTGGAGCCTTATGGGAAAAAGCTGGAAGCAGACACGTGGTTTTATGCAAAGCGTTGCTTTCTTGCATTGGTTGATAGCCTTGCGAAACAGATGATCGTGGTAAGCAACAAAAGACGAGGCACGGATTCATGAAATCTAATCTCAAGTTTGCGTGATGCAGTTGAAGGATGCGACATACGCCGACATAGACGACTTTCTTGATGCTGCGGACAGCCAAGGCAAGACTGTCTACACATCCGTGGAGAGTCCCGGCGAGGGCCAGAACTCCAACACGGTCTCCAGAGAAGCCAGGCTGCTCAAGAGGATGTTTCTGAAGATTAGAGAATGAGGTATGTCCGTCCATTCAGCTTGCTAGTTTCTAAGATAACTTCATTACAGGTAGGCATGGCTTGCAAGCCTTGGTGTTGCAAAAACTTCAAGTGGAACCTTTCGTCTCACCGCCACTCCTTCCGAGATCTCGTCCATGCTCAGCTCCTTGCCACTGACCTTCCACTCGAACCCATGGACGAGGCGAGCAAGAGTGTACGAAACCATGGCTACGCCAAGAGACAATCCGGGACAGATCCTTCGACCAGATCCAAAAGGCAGCAGCTCAAAGTTCTTCCCCTTGAAGCTGATCGAGCTCTCCGCAAATCTATCCGGCTTGAAGAGATTGGGAGACTCCCACAAGCTTGGATCTCGTGCAATTGACCATACGTTGACCAAAACTCGCGAGTTCTTGGGGATCTTGTAGCCGTTGACTAGGCAGTCTTGCGTTGAATGGTGAGGGAGTAGCAATGGCGCTGGCGGATGCAAGCGGAACACTTCGTTGACAACATTGTGGATGTAGCTAAGCTTGCAAAGATCGGCTTCCACCACCATCCGCTCACGGCCCACAATCGTGTCAATCTCTTTTTGGGCTTTGATCATACATGTTGGACTGTTCATGAGCTCTGAAAGTGCCCACTCGGTAGTGATGGCCGAAGTTTCAGTACCAGCAAGGATCATGTCCTTGCGAAGAGAAAATAAGGTTAGCATAACCAAAGGAAATTAAACTTACCATGATCATTGCTTTCACGCATTGAACGTCAATTTCTCCTTGGTCTTCCAATGACAAAAGCACGTCAACAAAGTCACCCGCACGCTCTGATGACTTGAATTTAGACTTGTGCTCGTCCACGATCTCTTGCAAAAGCTGGTCCAGTTTCGTGTGAGCCGAGATCATCTTTCGGATCACGGGGCTGCCAAGCCACGAGAGGAATGGAAAGCAGTCGCCCAACACAAACGAGCCCATCAGCCGCATTACTTCTTCGATCACCTCCACGGAGCCAGCGTGAATTCTCTCCCAAACGTGATCGAGCTCACAACATTGAGGTTGAGGATGGACAAAAGGACTTTCATGTTGATTGAGGCTTTCCCGTTTTGACCATTATTGACTATAAAGTCAATGAGC